ACCAAAAATCATCCATCAAGCAAATGTCACAAGTCAAGTAATGGTGCTCCATTAATGAATCAACCAACTTAAAATATCAATGAAAGTTCAAAAAGCTGTTTTCTCAACTCTCACAACTCACCAAAAATGAAAAACTTAAACTCGGGAATCTTTCTCAACTAAATGTGTTAACAACCATCTTACCACAAGGTCTGGCATGTGCTCAAAAATAACTCTGGAAATCATTTCTTGGTAATTAAGATAGCAAAAAATGACTCAACCCAAACATTTTGAAATCATACTCGGATAATCTCACAAAAAATTTGATCCAAAATAACAACAAGACAAAAATTAATCTCAAATAATCTCGCAAAAATTTTGACCCAAAATAACAACAAGACAAACTTTAATCTCACACATGAATATGCTCACCACCCCCAACCCAAAATCAGACAGTGTCCTCAATGTCTAAAAATATATGCAAAGAGAACACCTGGATGATGAACATTGGAACTAAGCTGAGCCTCCTGAACTGATTCTCCAAAACACGCAAACAAATATAAAATCACACAAAAACAAACGGAAAATAAAAGAACACAAAACACACCAAACGAAACAAAGAAACAAAAATATGATACAAAAGTGTTGGAAACAAACTCCTCAAGGTTGGTAAACCGGAGCCTCGAGAATGATCTCTTCAGCCTGGCTCACACGCTCAATGTAGTGCTTCAGTCTCTAACCATTGACTCTGAATACTCTCCTATCACTCGAGTCCTCGACCTCGACAGCACCGTTGGGAAAAACTTGTTTCACCAAAAATGGACCAGTCCACCGTGACCTCAACTTACTTGGGTGGAGATGCAAACGGGAGTCATAGAGATGCACCTTCTGATTCAGCTCAAAGTTCTTTCGCAGGATCTGTTTATCATGTGCCACTTTCATCTTTGCCTTATAGATCCTGGAATTATCGTAAGCATCATTTCTTAGCTCCTCAATTTCTGACAGCTAGAGCTTGCGATTAATTCCTGCAGAACTAAAATCAAAGTTCAGGGCTTTGATAGCCCAATAAGCCTTATGCTCGAGCTCTACAGGTAAATGACAGGCTTTCCCAAAGACAAGCCTGTAGGGAGACATCCTAATAGGGGACTTGTAAGTAGCACGGTATGCCCATAGAGCGTCAAGAAGACGTGAGAACCAATCTTTACGGTCGGGATTTACCATCTTTTCCAGAATCTGTTTAATCTCCCTATTTGCTAGCTCAGCCTGACCATTAGTCTGTGGATGGTAGGCAGTTGTAACCTTATGAATGACACCATATTTTCTCATAAGAGAATCTTTACGGTCGGGATTTACCATCTTTTCCAGAATCTGTTTAATCTCCATATTTGCTAGCTCAGCCTGACCATTAGTCTGTGGATGGTAGGCAATTGTAACCTTATGAATGACACCATATTTTCTCATAAGACCTTCAAAAGTTCAGTTGCAAAAATGAGTGCCTTGATCACTAATGATAGCACGCGGAGTATCAAACCTAGATAACACATTCTCTTTTAAGAACTTCACAATTGTCGCATTATCATTGGTTCGACACGGCACGGCTTCTACCCATGTGGAAACGTAATCCACAGCAAGGAGAATGTAGAGGTAACTAGAAGAAGGTGAAAATGATCCCATAAAATCTATCCCCCAACAATCGAATATCTCTATCACAAGAATTGGGTTCAAGGGCATCATATGGCGTTGAGACAGGGCACCTAACTTTTGACACCTCACACATGAACGACAAAACTCATTAGTGTCTTTGAACAAAGTGGGCCAATAAAGACCACACTATAAGATTTTTGCGGCAGTCTTCTTCATAGAGAAGTGACCACCACAGGCATCGTTATGACAGAAGTTCAAAACACTAAGAATCTCGTCATCTGGAATGTAATGCCTCATGATTTGGTCAGGGCAGTACTTAAACAGGTACGGATCATCCCAAAAGAAATTACGCACCTCGACTAGAAACTTGCGTTTATCTTGTGCATTCCAATTAGAAGGAAATTCGCCGGTCACCAAGTAATTGACGATGTGAGCATACCAAGGTAGCTTAGTGACCGCGAAAAGTTGTTCATCAGGGAAGTCATATCGAATGGCAGGGGCATCAGTAGAGTCTTTAAAGTCTAATCGAGACAAGTGATCTGCCACAACATTCTCAACACCTTTCTTGTCATTAATGGTCAAGTCAAATTCCTGCAACAGAAGGATCCACCGAATTAATCACGCCTTAGCATCCTTTTTGGAAAGGAGATACTTGAGGGTAGAATGATCTGTAAAGACAGTAATAGGTGAACCGACAAGTACGCACGGAACTTGTCAAGTGCGAACACTACAGCGAGTAACTTTTTCTCAGTGGTTGAATAATTCATTTGAGCACTGTTAAGAGTTTGGCTAGCGTAGTACACAACAAAGGGCTTCCCCTCCCTTCTCTGACCTAAGACAGCCCTAACAACATGGTTGCTTGCGTCACACATGATCTCGAATGGTAAGCTCTAATCCGGTGACTGAATGATGGGGGCAGAAGTCAGTTTCACCACGAGCATTTGAAAAGCAGTCTCACACTCAGGCTTCCACTCAAAAATGACATCTTTGGCTAGGAGGTTACATAATGGATGGGAAATCGTTAAAAAATTCTGGATGAACCTCCTATAAAAACCAGCATGCCCTAGAAATGACCAAACTTCTTTGACAGTTTTTAGGGTGGGCAAATTGGAGATGAGTTCAATCTTAGACTGATCAACCTCAATCCCTCTCTTAGAAATAATATTCCCCAAGACTATGCCAGATGGTACCATAAAATGGCACTTCTCCCAGTTAAGCACAAGGCCTTTCTCTTCACATCTTGTCAGAACAACTTCTAAGTTAAGAAGGCACGAGTTGAAGGAGTCGCCGAATATGGTTAAATCATCCATGAACACTTCCATACACTTCTCGACCATGTCGCTAAAAATACTCATCATGCACCTCTGGAAGGTGGCTGGTGCATTACACAGCCCAAATGGCATACGCCGAAAAGCATAAGTATCAAAAGGACAGGTAAAAGTAGTATTATCTTGATCCTCTAATGTGATCTCGATCTGATAGTAGCCTGAGTAGCCATCAAGAAAGTAATAGTAAGGATGACCAGCCACACGTTCTAGGATTTTGTTAATGAATGGAAGCGAGAAGTGATCCTTGCGGGTGGCGGCGTTTAGCTTTCGATAATTAATGCACATGCGCCAATCTGTCACAGTCCTTATGGGAACAAGAGCCCCTTTCTCATTTTCCACCACTGTCACCCCTGACTTCTTAGGCACTACCTAACTTGGACTGACCCACTTGCTATCAGCGACTAGATAGATGATTCATACATCCAGAAGCTTCAAGACTTCATTTTTCACGACCTATTTCATTGTCGGGTTCAGTCTCCTTTGGGGATCCCTTCATGGATTAACCTCGTCTTCCAAGTTAATGTGATGAGAGCAAATTAAGGGGCTAATACCCTTAATGTCAGCAATCGTCTAACCTAATGCCGATTTGTGTTCACGCAATATGTCAACTAACCGCTGCTCTTGGAATGCATCCAGTTTAGACGAAATGATAACAGGAAAGGTATCACCAACTCCCAGGAAGACATGTTTCAGATCCTCAGGCAGTTGAGCCAACTTGAGTGTTGGGGTCTCTTCGGTGGATGGTTTTGGCTTTTCTTTTTCTCGAGGTAGCTCTTCAAAGCGTGGTTGCCAAAACTTAGTTCCTCTGCCTTGTGAGTCTTTAAAAATGACAACGTTGTTGGCCAACTCACAAGGACCGGAACTCTCAGATTCAAAAATGCGGAGGAAATTGTCAAGATCATCAGAATTGCTACACAGCTGAACCTCTTCCGAGACAAGTCTGTCAATCAGAAATGTTTGGTGGCACTCGTCATCATCACGTGGTTGCTTTGCAACGTGAAAAACATTCACCTCCAAAGTCTTGTTCCCAAAGGATATCTTCATCAGACCATTCCTACAGTTCATGAGAGCATTGGCCGTAGCAAGGAAAAGTCTTCCGAGGATAATGGGAATCTTGGACTCCATACTCACCACGGATTGAGTATCCAAGACTAGAAAGTCAACGGGGTAATAGAACTTATCAACTTGAACCAAAACATCCTCAACTATCCCCCGAGGCTTCTTAATCGATCGATCAGCTAGCTACAGAACCACAGATGTGGGCTTAATTTCTCCAAGACCAAGTTGTGAGTAGACAGAATATGGCATGAGGTTAACACTTGCTCCTAGATCAAGCAAAGCTTGGCTGAACTCATATGTCCCAATCTGACAGGAAATTGTGGGACAACCGGGATCCTTGTATTTGGGCGGTGTTTTCTGGTCGATCACCGCGCTTACCTATTCTATCAAGAATGTTGTCTTCTTGACATGGTGCTTCCTTTTGATAGTGCATAGATCCTTGATAACCTTAGCATAAGCAGGCACTTGCTTGATAACATGAAGCAACGGAAGATTAATCTTCACTTGAGTCAAGTGCTCTAGGATCTCACTTTAGTGTTCCGATACTTTCCCAATTAGACGCAGAGCTTTGGGAAAAGGCACCTTTACTGGAACATTCATTGGCTCATCTTTCTTAGGGACAACTTCCTTACTACTCGAAGTGGTGGCACTTGTTGACGGTTCTTCCAAAATCTTACCACTACGAGTAGTGATGGCATTCACCTCCTTAACATTTTGATTATCAGGACATGAGGTTTGTGTCATATGTTGACCCTTTGGGTTTGACTGAGCTTGTGAAGAGAACTTGTCGCGTTCTTGAACAGCCAAAGCTCTAGTCAGCTTCATGATTTGACTCTTCATTTCCTTACTTTCTTCCACCATTTGCGTGAAAAGTGACTCAAACTTCTTATTCGTCTTACTCTGCACCTCCATGAAAGATTGCAAGGTGTTCTCAAGAGAACTCCTTGGCTGTTGTGAATTGTATTGAGGTGCAGAATACGCCTTTGGTGGTTACGGCTGCTGGTCAATTCTCCATTGTCCTCCTGATGGTTGCGCTTGGTTGGAATCTCTCCAACTGAAGTTTGGATGGTTACTCCAGCCAGGATTGTATGTGTTAGAAAAGGATTTGTTGTATGTCCCTAAAGCATTACATTGCGCCTTGTAAACCCCTCCCATTTCATTGTAAGCAGGGTAATCCTTAGCTAGATGCTCCACCCCTCCACAAACAAAGTAAGGCTCTTGTATCTTTGCCCTAGCAACCATGTGAATTCCTCTACCTTCTTTGGTTTTGAGGATCTCAATTTGTCGTGTCAAAGACTCAATTTGGGCTTTAAGATTGTCCTCTTCCCTTAGTTGATAGATTCCAGCTGGTCGGGACCGATTGGTGCTGTCAGTAGCACTTGGACCAGTCCATGTGTGGGCTTTCTCGGCTAACTCATTAAGATACTCAAAAGCCTCTTCGGGGTCCTTTTGGAGAAACTCACCATTACACATCATCTCCACAAATTGGCGTTCTCGGATTGTAAGTCCTTCGTAGAAATAACTGACGAGGCGCCAACTCTCGTAACCATGGTGAGGACACTGATTTAACAGATCCTTGAACCGTTTCCAAACTTGATATAGAGTTTCACTGTCCTTCTGGGTAAAGGTCGAGATCTGTCGCTTCAGACCATTAGTCTTATGGTGAGGGAAATACTTGTTGAAAAACGTTGTCGCCATTTCTTCCCAACTTCCAATAGACCTAGGTCGCAGAGAATACAACCAGCTTTTAGCCTTGTCCTTCAAAGAGAAAGGAAAGAATTTCAATCGCACAGAGTCCGCAGCTTCAGCTCGGTTGTGAAAAGTGGCCAGCACTTCTTCAAACTCCCTAATATGCACGTATGGATTCTCGCTCTCTAACCCATGAAAGGTCGGCAAGAGTTGGATCATGCCCGGCTTGAAATCCAAATTCGGCATATTAGGGGGAAACATTACGCATGACGGTGTGGCCGTACGCGTAGGGTGAAGATAATCGTTCAACGTCTTCAGTTGGACCTCCTCGTTTTGAGCCATCACGAATGGATTTCCAACTGCTAATGAGGCGGGGTCGAGGGAGGACTAGACGTGTGGGAAGAAACTTCACTATGATTTTCCGGTCTTCTTGCGAATCTCCCTAATTCGTCTCTATAACGATTCATTCACTCTACAACATTTCACTTTTTTTTATTATTATTATTTTAATTTTTGATTTTTTTTAAACAAAGAAAACAATAATGTAAAATCGCGAATCGCAACCCCCAAGAGTGCTCCCAGGAAAGATTGGTGGGGCGAAGCCTCCTTAAAAACCAACCTCCTAGACAGAGTAACGTTCCCAGGAAAGACTGGTAGCGTAGAACGCTAACAGGAACCAGCCTCCTAGGCAGAACTCCCTTCGTTTGTACCTTTCAACATTTCCACAAAATTGCTTGAAAAAATTATTAAGTTTTATGACGTGTTTTATGAAATGTTAAATATTAGATATTAGTACCCTAAGTTAATACTATTCTAAAACCTAAGGTTACACAAATTATGAGAAATCAAGAGTCCTAATTTAATGTCTAAATTGGTCACCTAAAAGTCCTAAAAATCACAACTTAAAAATTAATACCAATTATGAATGAAAAATTAAATTAGACTATTCAAGACCATTAAGAAATAAATAAAGGAGAAAGTTAATATTACAAAAATAAATTAATAAAGAAACTGATAAAAATTAATAACAAAAATGGAAACCAAGAATTAGACAAACGGAACTATGGACAAAGAAAAACTAATTCAACGTTCAATACACAAAAGTTAACCTGCCGAACAACTACTAAATGGAAGAAAAGCTAAACTACTAATGATTACTAACAACGCACACACTAACTAATGAAAAACACAAAAACAAAAAAAAACTAAGTGACCACTAAAAGACAAAACCAAAGAAAATGAAAACAGAATACACAAGAGAGTGACACAAATGTATTTGACAAAGCTTGACTTACGAACTAAACTAAACAAATAATACAATGATGCTGTCAAAAAGGTTTTTTTTTTTTTTTTTTTTAAAGAAACGTCTTAACCAGTGCACACTAATGAGGTTGAGGAGTTAAATCAAAGGAAAAGACCAAAGGCTTCAAACGGGCATGTAAAAAGTAAAGGTTGCAGTTGTAGAAAGTCTTTTTTTTTTTTTTTTTTAAACAAAATAAGACAAAACAAAACCTAACAAACTAATGAAGAAAACTTAACAAACTGCAGGAAACTGAAAACTGACCACAAATTCAATACGACAAAGCAAATGTTTTTTTTTTTTTTAAACGTGCCAAACAAAAAGAGTAAAATAAATAAAAGACTAATAGTACTTAGCTCATTGGCTAATTATCTACTGAACAATCTTGTTGACGCACCTCCCCGACAACGGTGCCAAAATTTAGTTACGCCCAAACGTGTACAAAACAAGTGGTCAATTGTAGCACAATTAAGACGGTCGATCCCACGAGAAAGTGACAAATTAAACAAGAAACGATTAGTAAATAAAAAGCATTAGGAGATAAATAATAAAGTAAAAATAAAAGAGAATGAAATTTTTGTTGAGAAGTTTAAGCGTAAGAAAAATGTATGAGAAAATTATATAATTAAAACCGGTAAGGCGTCGAGATTCCCTTATATGTTTTGTTCACCCGAATGGATTTTGATCTTTGACATTACTCAATTGAAAGTTTCACATCCCAAACTAACAATCAGAAAATAATTATTTGAAGAACATGTTAACTAAAATGTATTCGAGTGAGTAAAATTCTTACGTTTAGTATTAGGAAAAATTATCTTATGAAAAATCTAAAAGTGACAATATACCGTTGGCAATATTGCAGAAAAAGACTACTCGTAAAACAATACTTACCAATATATAGTATCATGCAACAATCACATAAAAAGAGCTTGACTATATTTATATAAAAGTTGACAATAGAATATATCAATATGAGAAATTAGAAAAAGATAGAAGAAAATTAATCACTCAAATATATAAACTTTGAAGAACAAATGGAGAATCAAAATCCACTCAAGATCACTTTACATATAGGTTTCTCTCTAACCTCACCAAAGAACTCTAGCCTAGCTTGCACATAATTCTCACAAAATTCTAAAAAGAAAATATGAGAATAAGAGTAAGAAAATGAGAGAAAATGTGTAAAAACTTAGGCTCAAATTCAACAACCTAACACACCTAACAAAAGCCTTATTTATAGAATTTCTGGGCATGCAAAAATGTTGTAATCAGCAAATAAAATGTAAAGGGACGTTTTGTCCATAAATTGGATTTACAAGGCTTTAATCTGAGATTGAATGCTGAAACCATCCAACGGAACCAAAACGGATCGCTGGCTGACGAATCCCAAACGGGTGGGACACATATCGCACTGTGATTAACGGAAATGAAGAAATGGCCGACAGCTGCATCAATTGCGACACGTGGCGCTCGCTGATTTGTGGAGATGAAGAAACTGCTGCACAGCTAGGCCCACGCGGAGGAAGAAAGGAAACGTGTCTGGTGCACGCGTGAGAAGAACTCGCCCGGGTAGGAAGGCTGTGAGTGCCAAGCGCGCGTATGCGCGGGGATAGCTGGGTCCCACGGACCTGTGACGCACCAGACGGCGACACGTGGCAGCGCAGGTGAGGCTCGCGCGGCTCGGCTCGGCTAGCGGACGGCTGGGCTGCTGATGGGCTTCATTTTCTTTTTCTTTTAGTTTTGGCCAAAATGTATTA